TCAGCTGACAAATGCGATTTTTTCTAGATTTAATCAGCATTTTATAATGACTTCTACTGAAAATACAGGCTGTTGGTTTTCCCTTGTTGGCCTGTAAAATGTATAGGGAACTGTGGGTTTATTTGTTAATCTAAGAACCGCTAAAAATGTAACAGCCACAAAAAACATGCTTTGGGCTGAATAGCAGCACCCACTCTCTATTTAATGGAATTTGCATGTTTATGGCTTTTCAACTAGGTTTTTAAAAACACTTGAGGAAATGCAGCGCCAGTGTAAGTTTTCAGACCATAGTTCTGTAGACCAAAGATTCTCCTTAGTTCATGAGATAGCTATACCATTATTGACTATAGCATTGCCATGCTAATTCATGAGCCTGATTAAAATTTCCGCCAAAGATTTGTCCTTTTGGTGGCAAGGCAGTGAATCCTCCCTGGCCCTTTGACTCTTGGCTGCTCTTGGCTTCAAAGATGTCAGGTAACAACCACTGAAAATATGTTGCTTTTGTGCTAGTTACATGTTTGCTGGAAATACAGCGGAGAGCAGATAGGTACCAGCTATCTATGTGGGACACAGTTCTTCACACTGCTGAACTGTGCTAAACGCTGAAGCGTAGCCTGGAGCTGCAGAGCTTCAGGTTCTGTAGATAATTCCCTGGTTCCTAAGGGCATGCTGAGAAAGCTGTGTTTATGATCACTTGAAAGCCTTAGATACCAGGTGACAGTGAGCTACATAATCCTTGTTCATCCTTGTATGTGCACTAGCTTACACTTTCATCTAATTTTGGTAGAAGAAGACAAAAATTCCTCCTCAGGCTGACTCTTTTTCCTCAACTTCATTTTTCACCTGATGATGGAAGATGGAGAGGAGATCCTCAGCCCTTAATTTAACCATTGAATTACTTCTTTGTCAGTACAATTTTAGCTAGGATGAAGAATTGTTTCCTCACTGAAATTGCCATGTTTATCACAGTTCTGCAAAGCTCACTGCTTTTCAGTAGCTCACAGACAGAAGATGCAAGCAGCGTAAGAAGCCTGAATTTTAGTATTTGTTCATCTGTCTTTTGAGCTTCCTTTAATTTGATGCTATCTGACTGCAAAGACAATTTTGCAGTTCTTCAGCAGTGATGGTGGGTCAACAGGAAAGCAGACAAACATTTCTGCTAACTGTCCACCCACGGTGAGTGGTACAAAGAGAAAACAACTTTCAAACCCAGCTTCCAGCTTCCTCCGTGTTTGACGAGAGGATTTAGAAGGCCCAAAGCAAGAAGTCCTTTTCTTTTCTATATTTTAATTCCTGCTGTTGAGATGGTGCTTTACACTGTGGAGGACTACTTTGGTGTTTGTATGTCATTCATAGCTCCCCAAGGGGAAGCTCACAGGGTGGCTGCATCCAGATGGGCCTGCCAAGTAATGCTGGCTGCTCAGCAGGGTGCCACCTTCTGTGGAGTGACAAGGGCCTAAAGAGATGAAGAGGGAAAGCAGCATGAGTCCATCCCAGGAGGTGAAGATGCAAGTCCTTTTCTCTCTGTATAAATTGTCCTTGAAGGGAAAGTGCAGGTAAAGCTGCACCATGAAGCAGATGTTAGGATCGTGGTGTCAGCTGAAGCACTGCTCTTTTTAAGGTCAATTTTAACTGTTGTCACAGCCCAAAGGTGCATGTAGCTGTCAATTGTTTCTTCTGAAAATTCATTCTGCTTTAATAAATTGGAGAAATTCCTTGTTCTAGTAAAGTCTCGAAATAACAGATGGCTCATATGTCAGGCATCAGCAAATCCTAAAGCTGTGGGCATGACCCCTGTCCGTGTCCTGTTGAGAAATCTACCTGCCTTCAGGATTAGGTTGCCCAAGAGTTTGGTGGTTTCTGTAACAAGACCAAAAGTGTAAGTTCCATTTGCTTATGACATGCTGTTGTTGGACTTAAAAGCTCTTTTCTGCAAAAGTAATGGAGATTTAATGTGGTTGCTGGTGTTCTTCATTGTGTTTTGGAGAACATTCAAGCTGAGAAGTTCTAACTTTCTGAATGTTCAGTTGATGAAGCTGAACTGTGTTTTCTTTAAGCATTTGAGCCTACATCATCCATGCGGGCAGAAGTGCTGTTACGGATTTTGGGTGACAACAGGATTAGGAACATTTGGCATGAGGTCGACTTCTTGTCAGACTTCTATGGACCTGTGTTTCAGGTTAGCATGGAACATGTCACCAGATTTTGCTTGAAATTAAACAGGCCCTGCAGGTATTGGGATAAGTTGTTGTGGTCAAAAATAAGTCAGCCTTTTTTTTTTAAGTGTCTGCAGCACTGTAGATCATGACCTTCTTGATGATTATCAGCATGATGCTGCACCTAGCAATAGTATTCTCACCAGTTTTCATTAAGGTTTCACACTCATCCAGCATTTCTAAAGAGAGTGTTAAGGCTTTACAATTGAATATGAGAGCAGGAATACTCAAGATAAGATCAGCCTCTAGGAAGTGGCCAAAGTCAAATGGAGATTATACCTTGTGTTTACATAGCAGCTTTTCACCTAGAGGATTCCATGAGAGTTAGTGAATTTATTGAACTGTTCCGTTCACCACTGCTTCTTGGTTCTGAGTCACTCCAGCTGGTTATCAGTGCTTAGCCCTGCTGCACGGTAATCAAAGCGAGGGAATGGAGCTGGGCTTCCCATGCTGAGGACCCTGCCAGACTTTCTAGCCAAAGAGTAGGGTAACTGTGAAATGCACTGACAAAGCAGGCTGGAGACAAGGTAAACTAATGAGGCTAATACTATTGCACGCTGCTGACTGCTGAGAGAGGCACAAAGAATTTTATATCGCTTGTGGAGCTGTTGGCATTGCTTCTTTCAATATAGATTTCTCTCACGTAATCCCATGCTCTGACATGATGGCTTGATGTATCATCTCAATAATGTTGGAAGACTGGGGAAATTCAGTGAAATGGCTGTATTTCAGTAATGTGTCTGTCAAGGGAAGGATGTCAGTCAATCACAGGCTGGAAAAAGCAAACAGTGTCTTATCGCTATGTGAGACTAAAATTCTTAATGTCCCTGTGTGCAGACCTGTGCCTCCATTTTCAGGCACTTCACTCCCTTAAACAGTCACGTATTTAACCTGTGTTGAGCACAAGTGCAAATCTTGCTGCATTTCACAGTGGAGAACCATTTCCCCGCATTCCAGCAGCAACGTAGAGATGAGGAGAAACAGTAACAAAAAAACTTCAGTTACAGCCTGAGGAGATCTGCCATACCAATGAAGTAATTAAAATGACACCATTAAATTAACAGTCTACACACTTACAAGGAATGAGTTTAGGAGATTGCTGTGGCTACGAAGAGAGATTTAAAACTGATCATTTAAATGGATCGAATCACTTTCTACTTAGAAGAGATCTCAGGGACATCCCATTGAACTGACTGGTCATCTGGCATAGGGAATATTTCATGTTGTAGCAGTAATGGTGATTTCAAGTCACATTGACTGCAAGTGGTTATCAAAAAGTTTTTGAGATAGGTTAAGCACCTGAATGAAGGTAGTTGGTATCCTTTCTCATTTATGTAATTCTTATTACACTTTGTATCACTGTTATCAGAACCATCCTTTTTAGCGAGTCTAAGCAAAGAGATTAAGAATTGAATTTGTAAGGCTGCTTTCCTTTTTGTGGTGCTCTCGTCTTGGCCTCGTCAGAAGACATTGACACAGCTGTGTGAGGAGACAGCAATGGTAGCACTGGTTTGCATCTGTTCGATGACTGGTAGCATCTGTTTGATGATTAACTAAAGGATTTCAGCTGTTAGAGCTGTCAATCTGACACCTTTGATGAGCACTAAAATAAATCTGTGCTACTAGAAACTGCTCATTTTTCCCCCCTGCTTTTGATTTACTTGACTTGTTGTGTCCTTGCCAATAACTACTAGCAAGGCTAATGCATTATAAACTTTGAAAAGTGAAGCAAGCGGCTGTCGTTTTTTGCACAACAGATGTTCCTGATCCGGAATCAGACAAAGGATCTCATCGCTCTTACTCTGAGCAATTTAATTTGTCTGTTCCATGGCACACCAGGCACCTCCTGTCTAGTGACTGACGTGCCCAAGTCCTACTTCATTTTAGGATCAGTTTCTTTAATCTTAACAGAATTATTAGGGTTTTTTCTGTGCCAGAGCAAAGAGAGTGGAAAAAAGGAAATTGCTTCATTGCTTATGGTGTCACCAATAATGCATCATAATGAAAAGTAGCAAAGGCCTATTTCAAAATAGGAAGCCCAAGTACTACATTTTAAGAGAACTAGAAAGTACTCTATGAGCACTTTTTTGAAGAAATAGCAATTTAGATTTGATGGTGTTTCTTTAGCAGTTGTAAGGCTCAGAAGTAGGGATAAGCAGCATATAATCCATCAAATTCTTGTAATACGACTTAGCAAGGTGGAAAAATTGGTATATTTTTAGGAAAAGTTGTTTGCTGTGGATCCAGTTCTCCACTCCTTAATCATGCAAGTTGTCCAAAATGAGTAATTACTCAGGTTTTTGATTGCTTTTCCATGTAGTTTGATCTGACTTTATCGTTCTGCTGCTGTTTTGTAGTGATGGATGGGTACTGCTGGAGATGTAAATTATATAGTTATTCTGTAGTTACGTTCCCAGTTATTAGTCCGGCACAAAAGACAGTTGTTTTGCCTATGCACAGCTCCTGACTCTGTCCCCTGACTGACCTAGTATACCTAACGGCGAGCAGTCCTTGCTCACCTTGCAAAGGAGGCTGCAGACCCTGCATTGTTCCTACTGATATCTGCCAAAGATTTTCTGGAAGGGAGAGGCAAGGAAAGTTGGCCATATCTTGTGCATGTGGCCACCCTGCACAGCTGCTGCTGCCAATACAAATGGTAGTGTTTGTGGCCACAGTCACAGCTGTCAGTCCTGATAAATGAGCAAACTGTATTTGAGGAGCTTGTTGTAGTCCATCACTGGTAGAAGGAGAAACCACTCATATGACCTCTTTTCCATTTGGCAGGTTGACAGGACAGAAGTGATTCGAACCTGTATAAATCCCATCTTCTCCAAGCTGTTCACGGTGGACTTCTATTTTGAAGAGGTGCAGCGGTTGCGGTTTGAAGTCCATGACATTAGCAGCAATCACAATGGGCTGAAGGAAGCAGATTTTCTTGGAGGCATGGAGTGCACTCTTGGACAAGTAGGTATTGCTGTCATTTTTCCCCCTTGTCTCTCATCTTTTTTATGTATATGAAATACATCACTTTGTTAAATGACTGATGGGTAAGATTTGTCATTCATGACAAAATTCTTAATCGGTGCTTTGAACAGGATAATTAAGAAATTCTGCTGGTTTGATTTCCTGCTGTAGTATAGCTTCAAGTCAGCCAGTGCTATAGGGAACTGGGCGTCAGTGATTGGCCTTGTACAGTAAGAGCACAGGCTCTCTTGAGAAATAGACTGATTTGGGAGAAAGTTACTGTTCCTAGCATTATATGGGATTTAAAGCAAGTTCCAAGTCCGAGGAATGCTTACAAATAAACTATGGTCACATAGGGTAGTGCCTGGTGATGTGGCAAATAGAGAGACAGGGTTGGATTCATTTCCCTGGCTCTCAGTCATCCAAAAGTTAGGTGTCTAGATTGTTACTCCTCTGCTTTCCATCTTCAGCTCAGCGGAGAGAAACAGACAGTTCCAGCAGTTGATTCATTCCACCTGAGACACCCATCATAGATTAGGATAAATTTCCTTCAGGAGATACCTGTCTTTTGCCATCAGTTATCAAGAGAGTCTAGACAGCTGCCTTAGAGTAGATACCTAACTTTTTAGATGCCTAAATTTAAGAGTGATGAGTCCTACCCACAGGATCGATATCTAGAGCCTGTCACCAGAGCCAGGTCTGCAGTGAATTCCTATATTGCTGACTCGTAGCACGCTACAGTGTCTCAGGTATCACAGTTTATTTCTAACTGGCAGACTTTTTGCGATGCAGGGTCTCATAACACAGATCTCAGCTCAGTCCATAATGGCAATGCTGAGGGTGGTCTCACTTTCACCGAGATGTGTGTAAATTGGCTCTCAGCTCTGTGCTCTGGGGTACTTTGTGTGACGAGAGCAAGCAGTGATTTCATTTAGATTATCCGTTGCAGTGCTTCCATGTAAGTTGTAGCCTGAACGTGGTACCTTGACATGGGAGATGCTGCAAAGCTTTTGTTTCCTATTTCCTTACTTTCTGTTGCTTCCTCAGTCCCACCGCACATGAATCCCTTCCCATTTACTTCCCAAAGCCATTGGGCTAAACATGCTGAAAGAGGAAAAGCCCTCTCAGTGAGACATGAAATATATGTATTTACTAACTTGAAAGCTCAACATGAAGGTATTTACAGTGCACAAAAAAGTCTGTTCTTTGTGAGAGACTTTTTGTGGCCTTAAACAATGAAAATAAGCTCTCCTATAACACCAAGGAGAGAGAGAAACAAAGAAAGAAGTTATTACAATGTTGTTCTTGCTTAATTGGCTTGAAAATGAAGGGGAAAAAATGTCATTGCTGATGCCTGTAGCATAAATGTCTTTATAATGATTTGATCTCTATAAATAGCACACAGCTGGGTTGGTTGCAGTGTAATTTTAATGGTAACCAAGAAAAAATAATAACAGTGTGAAATCTGTTCACAGTAATGTAGTCTTGAGGACTCTGGCCTCATATTTAGACTTTTTTGGTGGGTGCATCTGCCCACTAGTCTTCTAGCTCTTTGATTCACTCTAAATAGTTGCTGTTCTTTGAATAGGCACTGGCAGGCAGAGGCACCCATGTATCTTTGTAGTGATAAGCAGTGAAATCACAAGCAGTAACATTTAAACTGCCATTTTGGGGCACCGCTGTATGAAGGTGACCTCTTGCTTTCATATAGGTGCTTTAGGTGCTATGAATCAATTCATCTTTGGTTTTGGTTTTACAGATGTTGTCTGTAACTGAGGAGAGTAAATTCGTCCCCTTCTCCCCTTTATATTTCCGTTTCCCCATCCCTAGGAAAAGTGTTCAGGCACTCCACTCACCCAGACTAATCACTTCCAACTAAATCCCCATCACTGAAGGTTTTGTATTTCTGCTGCTTTTTGGTTGCTCACAAAACCTGTGATTGATTGTTTCAAGGGACAAGAGGTAGATGTATTTTTTTTTTTTTTTATTTAGTGGTTTGGGCTTTTTTGTCCATCAAAAACCAATGGAAAAAAAAATCTTAGATGGACAAACAGTGTCAGAAATTTGATAGCCTAATTTTCATGGTATTCAGCTGAGATAGCAAAACCCCAAACCCAAGTCCTTTTCTGTTTATGTTTTAGTGTCTTCATGTGTTCTGAGCCTCTCTAAAGCTCTTTTATTGGAATTGTTCAGTTTTGTATTCCATAAACTTTAAATAGCACTGCAATTGCATAATTTAGTACAGTAAGGGCTCTAACTTTCTAACAGCCAAAGTTAACTTCTTAACCACACAGGAATTAAGTATCAGGAGGGTGGCTTAGTAACACTTTTTTCCTCTGAAGTTTCACCCAGAAGTCTCAGCCTGATCTTTAAGAACTCACAAAAATTATTTCAATGAATAATAATTTTCTGACGAGAACTAAACAAACTTACATTGCCAAGACATTCTTGATTACTGCTCAGCTGTGCCTGCAACATCATTAAATTACAGGAACCAGTAAAGTTGTTGTTTTCTTAAATGCTGTGAACCATCCCGGCTCTGCAGTGTGGGAATAGCCTCTGTGGCTTTTCTTTCATTACTTACCACGGCTGGTCTTTGCCATTTTCAAATTTGTGATTCCATTCCTTGTTTGGTTTCTTTTAATTTACAGAAGCATTAAAATATTATTACAATTCACAACTCCCTTACTTGCTCAACTAGTAGCACAAGAAAACTGCAGAGATGGACATCTTTTCCTGCCAAGAACCTTTTCAAGTATTATTTAGAGATTTAATATTTCCCATATATGCATTTGTGTACAAATTATATTGAAAATCTTCCTTCTCAGTAATGAGTATTATTGTTTCTTGTGTGCTTTTAATAATATATGCCATTAGCAGATTGTGCACTTGAAAATGCTGACTGATTATTAGTCCGGTTTCAGCCATTGCAAATCCCTTTGCTCTTGAATTAGAGAAAGGCTAAAAGAGCCATGATCATACCTGAATTAATTAAATTGAAATAGTTTGTATGAGAAAATTTGTTTAATAGTCTGTTGACTGCTTCTGTGGTGCAAAAGACATAGGACAAGTTTTTTCAAGGTATTTGAGTTCCTAAATCTCATTAGATGTCTGTATGCCTCCTTAGGTATCTAAATACCTTTAAATACTTGGCCTTTGATCTCCTCCAAATGAAGTTGCTCAATTCATTAGCGGGATGAATAATGTACTTTATTAGATACGGATGTCACTTTCTACCAGGGCTGACTCAGAGCACGATCAAATCATCAGTGCAGCACTCTTCCCTAGCTTTAGCTAACCATTTAAACATCTCAGCTATCCCCAGGAAGCTCTTGGTTTGCCATTGCAGCATGATCTCTGAAGCTGTAAAATTTTCAGTTCTAGATGAATCTTGCCAGTCAAAGTTAATGGAATTACTTGTACAGTGTGTACTGTTTTGTTTCTACATACTTTATCTTTTTGTATGGATTACTGTATCAGTCTTTAGAAAAGTAATTTAAAATTTAGTTTATTATAATGAGTTATTATTATGGCTAATTATAAAAGGGTTGCTACACTGCATACTAATTAAATTCAAAGACCTTTTATGCTATTGATAAGCTATTTCCTGTAATAGTTATTGCCTTTTTTGTGATAGGGATATATATATTTTTTTTTTTTTTTTTCTCAGTGTTCTGTTTTGATTGACTATTTTCAGGTACAGATCTTTAACAAAGACAGGGAGAGGTGTAATTCAGCTGTAAATAGACTGTGAGCTGATCAATACTGTAACAAAAGAAATCTTAAGAGTGGTGAGTATGGTACAGAAAGTATATGTACGGGGAGGATGATTATAGCAATAAAACTGGCTCTACCAAGAAACAAGAATTCTGTGAGCAGTTAGAATAAAATATCCTTCTTTATGGACATACACATTTGAACTTGTTCTCTTGCAGGGATTTCTTGGTATCTGTGAAGGGGTGAACTCATACCCCAAACCCTTTTTTCATGAGAGTGGAGTAATGTCACTGGTATCTACCTGTGTTCTTGTCTCTTTTAAAGTTGAAATGTAGCACGTTTTATACATTTTTGACTATATGCCACCGTTCTTCGAAGTTATTTGGTGGATTCAGAATTGGCTGGGGGATAGATAGCAAGACAGACACAAGCACATCAGAGTTGTATAAATCTTGCTTTGTCAAAAACCAGGCTAAAGATGAACTCGTGAAGAAGGGGAAACAGTTTTTACACTGAGCCAGAGCTACCTCACTTCTTCTGCCCTTGCTTAAATTGGTCATTTACCCACACAGGTAAATGTTAGTAAAGTCTGCCATTTTATTTGTGGGTGTTTAGAAGCTTCCAGTATTTGACTTAAATGGATTAGAGCAAGAGCACACTAATATTTTAATTTACAAGATTCAAGATACATTTTACAAATGTTAAATCTCGAATCATTTGTCTAGCCACTCTAGTTGTATCATTCTACTTACAGAAATATCATGAAAGTATGACAGTCCTTCATTTGGGAGACTTCGTAGCTGTGAAAAATGTGCTTTAAGAGTTGTACTTAAAGTTTATACAAGAAGGGGAGAGCTTAAGAGAGCATGTGCCATAACTAGTAAGCACTTTTGATATGGTTATGTCCTAAGTTTTACACATCACAGAATCCTTCTCTTGCTATACACCGAGGATGAAAATGATTTTGTAAACACAGTCAAGTTATTTTAATTACATGCGTTAAAATCTCTGTCCCAACTTGGCAAGATAGCAATTGCTTGTCAAAAAAGGAACAGAACTTGGATAAAAGATGCTTTAAGTTAGTCCAGCTGTGCATTTTAGCACCTTTTGTAGCAAACAATTCAAAAAGCTGTAATTTCAGGAGGCTCTGAAAAATTCATTCAAATCAACTGTTGCTTTAGAAAGGCAGGTTGCTATACAGTGCTGCGCACTCTCAACTTGGAGGCTGAAATTTCTCAAATACTTGTCTCACTTTTTGAATCCAAGCAATGCTGAACAGAACA